TTAAAGGAACTAAGGATGTAGAGCCAGTGCCTGAACAACAGCAGGGACAGGGGATGCAAGAGCGTGAGGTAAGATACAACATCGAAAGTTTGCAGCACCCTAGTGTCAAGGCTCTGTATCGGAAACGCTTGGATGAGAAGTTGGGGGATGGGCTTTCGGGTACCACTGAAGAGCAATATCATTTCATTAAAGATTGTATCCACTCTGCAGCTAAAGAAGCCCTAGGTATTTGCAAAACCAGTAATAAAAAGCAGCATCCTTACTGGTGGGATGAAGAAATTGAAGACGAGATAAATCTCAAGAGGCAAAAACATCTTATATTTCTGTCGTCTAAAAAGGCTGAAGATAAAGTTGCTTACAGGAAAGCTCAGTCTAAAGTTAGGAGCCTCATAACACGGAAGAAGAATGAAGCTTGGGAAAGCAACTGTTCTAGAATTAACACCTACCTAGGGGGGAGAAAAAGTGCTGAGAGCTGGAAGTTAATTAAAGGTTTACGTAGAGACATGAAGCGCGACATCGTTTCTCCGATATCACTTAAAAAACTGGAGGATCATTTTAAAGATCTTTTGACGGAAAGGCGCCCAGAGTTTCGAGACAGCAGCACGGACAACGGAAGAATGAACAACTTGGAGATTCACACTTGTGACATAATTAAAGCGGTTAAAGAGCTAATTAATGATAAAGCGCCGGGTCCTGGCGGGATTCCTGTTGAGTTGGTCAAGTACGGGACTGCCAAGCTCTTTGAGTGCCTCAGGAAACTGATGCAGCAATGCATCAGGGGTGACGAGGTACCAAGGGAGTGGAAGGAGTCCTGGATCAAGGCCATCTACAAAAAGAAGGGAAGGAAGGACGACTGTAACAACTACCGGGGGCTCTCAGTGACCGGGACAATAAGCAAAGTGTACGGGAAGATACTGAAAGCGAAGATCGATGACGAATGGCAGGATCACGAAGCAGAGGAGCAGGCTGGTTTTAGAGCTGGCAGGTCTACGATAGATCACCTCTTTGTTATTGTCCAGGTCATTGAGAAGAAAATGGCCGTAGCTCAGGAGCTGCATTTAATTTTCGTGGATCTCCAGAAAGCGTATGACAGTGTGCCGTTGGTGAAACTTTGGGAGGCCTTGGAAAAATCGAATTTTAACGGGGGGTTGATTGATGCTGTCAAGCGATTTTATAAAGGGAGTTTTACCAAAATTAAGTATCATGGGGGGTTGTCAGCGGGATTTTATGTGACTAAGGGTTTAAAACAGGGATGTTGTTTGTCGCCAACATTATTTAAAATTTACCTCGAATGTGTGCTAAAGGAATGGAAAAGGAAGTGTTCTGGTATGGGTGTCCCCTTGGGTGATCTTGAAACTCTGTTCACTCTGTGCTTTGCTGATGACCAGGTGGTGGTTGCTCAAGATCAAGAAGACGCGGAGTACATGATGCGCAAGTTAGTAGAAGAATATCGGAAGTGGGGTTTGGAAGTCAGCATATCCAAATCTGAGAAGATGACTTTTGGTGGTGATCAGCAAAGCATTGAGTTGGAGGATGGGCAGCAGATCAAATGCTGCGAGCACTTCAAGTACTTGGGAGTGCGGTTGACCCAGGATGGAAGGACGGATCAAGCTATCAGGGAAAGGAACACCTTAGCAAGGAAGGCTATAGCGATGTTAAATGGAATCCTCTGGGATCAGCGGATTTCCAAAGATAACAAGAGGAGGATATACAACGCTGTAGTAAAAAGTATATTAACATACGGATGTGAAGTTTGGCAGTTGAAGAAGCGGACACAGGATATGCTAAGAGCAACGGAGATGGATTTCTGGAGAAGGTCGGCAGGAATTTCTAGGAGAGATCGGGTCCGTAATGATAGAGTGCGTCAGATAATGGAAGTCGAAAATGACATCGTGTTCGACGTCATGACCAAACAACTTGTTTGGTATGGTCATGTCAATAGGATGACGGAAGAGAGGCTGCCAAAAAAGATGCTTGATTGGGTTCCTCCTGGGAGGAGACGTAGGGGACGCCCAGTGAGAGGTTGGCGACAGGGGGTGTTAAGTGAGATGAGGGAGTGTCAACTCCCTGATAACCTGTGGGAAGACCGAGCTTTGTGGCGATTAGGTGTCGCAAAGCGCCAAAGAGCGCTATAACAGCGACTCGTATGTATGTAAAAGCTCATAACTCCGTTTACACACAATTTTGAGATTCTGAAAGTGGCACCATTAGTTTTCTTGTAAAATTTTCTTTCCAAAACACCCCTTAAAATCTAAAATGTGACAAAATAAACATCAAAATATGCAATTTTGGTCAAAACCTCTCTGATTGCCTCGATCCAATCTGCGGCAATACGCCATTTACTCGGAGTCAAATCCGATTTTTAAAAAAGGAGAAATGCATGCGACCACCAGATGCGGATCTGGGTCCGTCAATGGCCACGCCACGGGCGGGAGTGAACGACTCCAATTATGATAGGATTATTCTACGAATCATACTAATTGGATACTCAATTGCCTCGAGCGTAACATTATTTCAACTTATTCATTGATGTTCCGAAACTGCCGGACATCCACAACAAATTGAAACAATCTTTGTTTCGTTGCGGCACAAGCCATGGCTGAATGAACAGCGATCTGAACGCATTTAACAGAAGAAATGGATCCTCTGCTTGAATGAACCACAAACAATAATTTAAAACACGGTCACTTCGAAAGCTACTAAATCTATTGGACGGCAACGAGTTAAGTTGTTTTTCCGCCGGAAAAGGAAACGGAATCGCTTAGAGCGGAAGTGGAAAATGGGTCAAGCGTTTTCGCGAAAACGTGCCAGCGTGTTTTCGTGTCCCTCTCGAACCTGACCATGCTGCCGAGTTTCTGTAATTCATTCCATTCTCCCGTGCTAAGGAAGAAAGCCGTATGAACATCCGAGGGTTGCCAAATTTCCCCAGATAAAATACTTATTTTTTATGAAAGTTATGAATACTTTTCCTTTGAATTTTCAGAATCTTTCTGTAAAATTGCGAACTAAATTATCGGAAAAATTGGGGGGGAAAATATTCACGAATTTACCAGAAAATTCGAGTTTTGTCAAAGGAAATTTGGCAACACCTGAAGGTTCATACGGCGTTTTTTCTTAGCACGATAGCATTGCGTTCCGATGAAATAATCTGGAGCAGGTGCGAAGTTCTTCGAAAATCGGCGACACTGCGCGGCACGTCACCGAAGACGCATATTTTCGCCTCGATCTGCTACTTTCGTCGGTAATGCAGGCGCACAGCGAGGCGGCGGTGGCGCTAAAAAAATTAAAAGCGCTCACTTAATCGCCTGTACGTGACTGGAGTTTTTCCCGCCCTAAGTGCGCCGTGATAAATAGAGCGCAATACCTCCGGCATGAGGGCGCGAGATTTAAGAGAAACATTTGCACGTAAACTCATGAAGAATATAGCGTGTACGTCCAAACATGCATCCAATTCCCTTAGAACCAGTTGATCTTAAATATATCCTGGGTACCTTACAAGAAAAAATTAATGAAGTAAAAAAAAAAAAAAAAAAAAAAAAAAAAAAAAAAAAAAAAAAAAAAAAACAAGCTGGTAGAGCAAGTACAAGGTGTTGAAAATGTGTGCTCTAACGTTCAAGAAAGTGGCATACTGATCACTTGACAAGTTGATTACCCGTGTGGTGGTGTGGTATCGGCCATTATATTAAGTATTCGTCAGTATTTCGTCCAAATTCCCTGCCATACTTTTCTCCTCTGAAAACTGGACCGATCCCATGAAATTCCAAAAATTAGATCTCTTGTTTTCCTTAGATGAATTGGAACGTATTTTAGACGTCAAATCATCGAGACGCGACCAATTGAAATATTTCCTTCGAAAAATTAGCTGAATCTGAAAAGAATATATGATCTCGATCAGGGCCGGATTTACTTGCCGCCCGTCGGCCGCTAGTATTTTGCCGCCCATTGACCGCTAGTATTTTGCTGCCCCCTTCTCATTCGTTTTGAAACATCAATGAAAACCATCAAATGAACGTGCCAGCGGGAGAGGGGTCCGTAAGACGCGTTTACTGGTGTTGAACAATTTTTTTGGGAAAGCCCTGTCAACACTACTAGCAAAAGTTCACGGAACTTTACGCGAAAGTAAAGTTTCGTAAACCTATCTCAGTGTGGACAAGACCTTCCATTCATGAGAAGTGAACGAAAAAATTATGAGAAAACAAACATAAATGTGGATTAATGATTTTAACTTCCGCCGCCGCGCCTCGCAGACCGCACTGTGTTCGACGCAATGCGTGAAGTATTCACGCAGTCTTGTAGGCGCTATGCGTTTCACGCTGATCGCACTGTCTTTGGCGCAATGCGTGAGGTATTCATGCATTCTTGTAGGCGTTAATATGTGTTACATGCCGATCACCGCGCAGAGGGCTTCTCCTTTTCATCTCAAGTCCTCGTCATCATTTCTCTCTAGGTGAGTCGCGCCACGTTCCAGGCCAAATTGCGTGTTTGGTTGCTCTCTTTACTCAACTAATTAAAGGTGCTGTCTCTTGTATCACTGAAAGACGACAAAAGTAGAAATTACTATACTCTTAGAAAATTAGAGATTTTGTCGCCTTTTCTCGTTTGTAATGTTTTTTCTAAATCCGAATTTTTTTTATAGCTACATTAAAAAAAATTGCAAAATTTGCCGCCCCCTATAGATTTGCCGCCATGGGCCGCGGCCCATGTGGCCACCCCCTTAATCCGGCCCTGATCTCGATTTCTAATTTTATCATGACTATAAGCTCTCTGACCCTCTTAATTTCCATTTTTGATCACAGTTCGTTCTAGCGTTCTGCTGAGCTCATTTTCGTAATTTTTGTGCTGCCGACAGTCCGCTGGACTGCTATTGGTTAACAGGCGCAGCTCTCCAGTATGTTTTAAACACTCAACAGAACAAAAACGGGAAGTAAATGTTCTCAAAATGTTTATATAGGGCTCGTCTACTTTCAAATTACTAATCCTTTCCAAGTGAGGAGCCTTACCTTCTCATCTTTCTCTGTGAAGTCGCCGTCATCCTGCTCTTCATTTTTGTTGATAACCTGGGCGACAGCAATGACCTCCCCGTATGCGTTCTTGACAGCCATGCAAAGAAGTGACTCCGTGTGGTAGCCGGTGATCCGGTCCACCTCGTCATCAAATCGAGGATCCTGAAACGAAGGAAAACCCGCATTAGATTTTATACATATTTTCTATTTTAAGTCAAATAAAGAGAATTATCGACACTTATTCTGCCGTGCTAGGGAAGTATGAACCTTCCAACGTTGTCAAATTTATTTCGATAAAATGCGAATTTTCGGAGAAATCTGTAAGTATTTTTCCTCCAATTTTTCGAGGAATTTCATTCGCAATCGGATCGAAATTCCCTGAAAATTTCAAGGGAAAATATTCACAATTCTCCTTAAAAATTGACATTTTATCAGAGGCAATTTGGCAACTCAATGGTGTTCATTCAGCGTTTTTCCTCAACACGGTGGTATAATGTTCTACAGATAAAAATTAGATTATCTGAGATTGGAAAAAATTGAGGAAGACGTATCACCATTTGCGCAGTTGCAAATTTCTCGTTTAAGTTTATCTTTCCAAACGCTGTTAAAAAATGTGTGCACATGTGTGTTCATTTTGGTTCTTTGTCCGAGGGAAAATACGCTGTGTTGTCGTTATATGTTATCCTCGGGTGGGTAAACGAAATACAGCACGTTGCATTACGCACCTGTGTTTCCTAAAGGATGTTTTAAGGGTGAACGGGAAGGGGGGGGGGCTTTCATCCCTCTGGGGGACAAAGGAGCTTACCGGTGTGCAACGCTTGTATTTCGTTTACCCACCCGCAGATTTCAGGAACACTAATAAGCTTGTGTTAATTCCTCCGAACGGTTAACAGGAATGGTATAATGGTAAGGTTAGATATATTCAACAGTGAGGGAAAGCTGATTGAAATTACGCACAGTGGATAGTTTTCTGGGGGTTTTTTCACCCTTTACAGAATAACCAATGATAATTTTAAACAATGCTGCCCATTTTGTTCTATATCGCGATAGATTTTTGTTTTATTTTGTTTTGTTTGTTTGTTTTTCTTTGTTTAAACTTTACCATCAAGTTATGGAAGAGGGGCCTCTACAAAAATGAAAGCAAACCTTACTCTAAATATGCGACGAGAACTGACGGCATGTCAGGGTCGGACTGACCATAAGGCCAATCTGCCATTGGCAGATGTGCCCCCCTCAGCGCGCCAAAGGCGCGCCCCTCTTCCAGCCGCTAGAATAATAATAAAGAAAATGAAGAAAAGAAGCAAAGAAAAAAAGAAAGGGAAAAAGGGAAAAAAGAAGAGAAAAAGGAAAGAATTATAAATAAAAAGCAAGGAGAAAAGAAGAAAAGTAAAGAAAAAATGCCTAAAAATTATAAGTAAACGGGAGAAGCTTTAATAGGAGTTAATTACTGAAGAACCCCATTTCCCCATAAGAAGCCGTGTATTTTTGGAGAAAAAAAGGAGCGAAAAAAAATTGAAGCAAACAGGCAATACGCCATACCAATTCTACGTATTTTTTTTCGTAGAATCCATTTCTGAAGTCAAGAAATACCCTTGCCATTTGAAATTCAATTCAATTCCAGAATTTTCCTCTGTAAGATTAATTGACTTCGAACCTGAAAATATTGTCAAAATTCTACTTAGAAGAGTTTGATTTTTAAAAAATTCCGGCCCCACCGAGAGAGGGGGATTGTTCCTTCACACTCCTGAGCGAAATATCACATTGCGCCCCCTTCGCCGGCTAAGGGTCTGCGCCCTCAGAGGTGCGTCAGTCCGACCCTGCGGCATGATGAGGACTGAATGGCTTGTAGTCCAACAATCCCGTTATCTTTCTTTTAAAACTGTCATATAGGTGTCTCATTTTCAGATTGAGCTATATGTTGCACCCGGCATTTTTTTAAATTGTCTTAAAAAAAGAATCATTCGCTTCAAGTTTCAGGCAACGAAACTGATTAAGTAAAGGAAAATTGAAGAGAATTACAGGTCGTCAGAGTGACTAAAAATGTAAAGCACGTTATCAGCAACGCTAGCTGATAGGGATGTTGTTATATCATTGCACGAGCAATGTTCGTCTTTATCTGAGACAGAGGTGTAAGATTCGAGGTGTTTGTTGACGACTTCAGGAGCAGCAGTTTTTTAAGGAGCGCCAAGTTGTTTCATCCGAAATTACGGTCTCCTTACGCCACTAAGTACTCTAGTCACGTATCCACGCTGTAAGTGCACATTACTTTAAAGCTCCATTATCTGCACTCATCGATATTGAGCTGCCTCGGAAGTGTCACCCAGGGTTTTGTGCCTTTGCCCCTCGCTCAACGATACGACTGTCCTTAGTCTCACGACGTTCCTTACTTAAGCAAAGACAATCTTTTGGGAGGCATATATTAAAAAAAATAAAATAACCCTTTTGTTACTCTTATTTCAGTTCTCGAGGCAAGAGAGTTACTCCATTTTTACTCGAGCCGTGGAGAGCATGGGATTATACGAACGATTTATGTACAGAAAGAAAAAGTAACCAAAATTGTATGTCAATACGGGAAATAGAACAAAAGTTCTCGATTAATATCAATAATATATATACACGAGAAAAAACACCAAAAAATGGCCCGGAACTGTACGTAATAAGGTGGAGAAATGGTGCTGGGTTCACACCATTTCGCGGGGAAATCAAAGCCGAGAAATTCAAAAAATTACATTTAGAGTCAAAAAATGTTTACCTCTTACGAGTATCATCGCGAATTACTGGTACCCTTCGTATTTCTGGTACTCCTTCGTGGTACTTCGTACTGGTACTCATTAGAGTTTAAATTTTTTTGACTCTAATTGTAATTTTTGGAATTCCTCGGCTTTGATTTCCTCGCAGAATGGTGTGGACCCAGCACCATCGCTCCACCTTGATGGCCAGTTTTCTTTCGATTAAGTTAGAATTGATTGAATCTGATGGTTACATTCGTCTAGTCTTTTGGTCCAAATACTCATAAATCCCAACCAGTGAACAGTAAAAAGGGAAACGTGAGAGCTTTAGGCTAACAGGACTCATATATTTCTAGTACGTTTTGAAGTAATATACCTGAAGTTCTGGCTGATTTAACCAGAAAGTTAGTCCATGAACTAAATTGTTTTAGTTGCACTCGCCGAAAGGAAAGGAGGAGTATCGGCAGCATGACAGAATAAGACTACCGGAATAGCATTTAAGAACGGAAAAATCGCGATATTTTGAAATTAAGTTGCGATTATATTACGATGTTTTGGCCATGAAATCGTTAGGGTCATCAATATCTGACCGATTTTCCTTAGTCTCTTGTCGCAATTTTATCTCCATAAAAACGCCTTCGATACAACCGAAATTTCCTCTCAATTTTTCACGATTTTTTGTTTGATAATATTACGAAGAATCGCTTTTGATAAAGTGCCAATTGGACGTATTTATGCGAAATGGAACTGTGTGCAAGTGGAAAGATGGGGTGTGCTCGTTAGTGCTCGGGCCATAAGAATGAATGGGACTGTAAAAGCGTCAGTGACGTCAGCGGTAAGGACCAGACGCGACAGGCGCGACACAAGCGACGACGACTAGGTCGTCAGTCTTTAACTCATGAGCCCTGTCCACAAGGCTCTTATCACACGCCCACGGCTCACAAGTTAGCGCTTAGTTCCTCATGATTTAATGTCAAATCCCGCTTTCCCATTTTCTCAAAAGGAACGTTTACATCACTTTTTAGGAACTTTTACATAACTTTTTTCAGGACTTTTCACTCTACTTTTACATTGTTTCTTATCCAGCTTCCACGAGCACACCCCATCTTTCCACTTCCACACAGTTTCATTTATCACAAATACGTCCAATTTTATTGCAAATTCATGCGATAAATTGCAATTTATCGAAATTCTTTATCCGATGATATTGCAATAAATCGACGTTGATCAAATCGCGATACATTCTCCGATCAAATTTCAAATTATCCCGATCACTCTTACTCGGTATCGATATTCCTCCTTAAGCGGAAATGAGAAACACAGAGTCGTAAGAAGAATGGAGGAGTTGGCATCTCTTTTAAGCATTTTCCAATCACCGAATCTCATGACTCCACAAATGTACTTTGTGCGGAAAAGACATTCTGCCCTCGGAACTTGTCGACCAGAACATGGCCCCAGCTCACCTCGTAATTGAGATGTTGCATGCGTGAGGGGTTTGCAATTTGACCATTGATTCTGATGTAAAAGTTTGCAAGAAACACGATGGTGCCACTGGTTTGCTCTGAAATCATCTCCCAAGCTTAAAGAAGCTCTCAAAGTGAGGCCAAAATGGAGAGGATATCCCACCCTACCCTGAGAGTCCACCTCTACATCAAAACAAACTCTCCATGCAAACATAGAGAGTAAATACATTGACAGGGTTGCCGTGTTTTCAGTTGTATAGTCCCCAAATAAAGGCAGCCCTGTCAATGTATTTGCTCCCTATCTTTGCATGGAGAGTTTGTTTTGATGTAGAAGTGAACTCTTAGGGTAGGGTGGGATATCCTCTCCATTTTGGCCTCACTTTGAGAGCTTTTTTTGAGCTTGGGAGATGATTTCAGAGAAAACCAGTGGCACCATCGTATTTCTCGCGAACTTTTACATACGCATCAATGGTCATGGTCAAATCGCAGATCCCTCACACATATGGACGTATTTCTACCAAACAGACCTATGAGGAGGCGAGAAATATGGGGTGTGCTCGTTAGTTCTCTTTGCGTAAGAGTGAATGGGAATAATAAAGCGCCAGTGACGTCAGCGGCAATGATGGAGCCGCGGCCGCGAGACGGAGATCATCGTCGGGGCGCTTTAACTCATGAGCCCTGTCCACAACGCTCTCTTGCCATGCCCGCGGCTCATGAGTCCCGCATTCAGTTGGCACATAGGTCTGTTTGATAGAATGTAATATCCCGCTTTTCCAATTTTCCAAAAGGAATCACGCCCTCTTTTACATTGTTTCTTATCCAGCTTCAACGAGCACACCCCATATTTCTCACCTGCACATAGTTCTGTTTGATAGAAATACGTCCATATGCAACATCTCCATTTAAGGAATGACAGAAAAATGTTTCGGAGTGTATTACCTACCTCGCAAGCGACTTTGAGGTTGACGGTCTCGCCGGTCTCGGCGACGTGGCCGAGGATGCCGACGCCCCACGGGACCTGGACCTGGTTGTCGCCGGGCCCGGTGCCGGCCGGGAAGAGGAACTGACTCACGCCGCTGTGGACGTCGAAGACCTTGGAGACGAGCGTCTGCCGCCCGCCGCGGGGCCCGTCCACGAGGAAGAGGGAGGCCCCGTCCGTGTCGAGCAGGACGCACATGTTGTCCACCGCCTTGTGCGAGAGGGACTTGAGGTCGAAGTCGGAGCCGATGTCGCGGATGATCGAGAGCAGGAAGTCCCGCTCCCCGAGACTCGACAGCAGCTCCTTCTTCGTCGCCCGGCTGTGGGTCGGACCGCACTGCGGCAGCCGCACCTTCGACTCGATCAGCAGCGAGAGCATGTTGATCGAGTTCGGCGGTAGCGAGGTGTACCTGCAACACAAAAATCCAACAGCTTTCAGTCAATCTTAATCAAAATCAGTGAACATTGTAATGCAATGTGTGAAGGTAGTAGCACTAAATATATATCGACGGTGAAAGTCGGCATCACATAACTTGATTTGCGACGTCGCAGACTTCCTGTCATACTTTATTCTTTACACGGAAAACTACTCAACGGTAATTCCTTAAAACTGCCGTGATTTTTCTTCTATGTGCGAGGAAAATTCTGCAAAAACTGCAAGGAATCATGTCCATTTGTTCTCCTTTAAAAAAATAACATAGTTGCGGAGATTTTCAGACACCGCAAACGAGTTATGTGATTGCCGACTTGCACCGTCGATATGAGTTTGGGTTGGTAGCCGAGTGCTAGAAATAATGCAAAAAATGTTTTCAAAAAGCACTTACATTTTATTGATAACTTTATTTGTACCGAAGCTTTTTGTTGTTGCCCTGACGATGAGGCGTCCGCTTCGAAAAGCTTCGGTATAAATAAAGTTATTAATAAAATGTAAGTGTTTTTTGAAAACATTTTTTGTATTATTTCTAGCACTCGGCTACCAACCCAAACTCATAGTCAATCTTGGCTTCTTCCACCAACACAAACAAAGAAAGACACTTTATTGGACGTATTCCTATCAAACGGACCTAAGCGCCATAGGGTGAGGATGGTAGAGAGTAGGGGTGCAATGCTTTTCCATGGCACTTAGGTCCGTTTGACAGAATGCGCTATCCGGGATTCTAAATTCCTCGAAAGGAACTCAAATTGGCGCTTAGTTCCGTTTGATAGAAATACGTCCTATTGGTATTCTGGCAAAGGCCAAAGCAGAGGCAAAGAGAGGGCAAGTTATTGCTCGGCTGAGCTCTTCCTTCTTATAGTGATAGTGAGGCTTTACTTTTAGACTGAATTTTGCGTGCACCTTGACGTAATCACCAAATACACTGATATCCTAAATACACGTATCAGACCCATCGAAACCACGTGTATTTCAATATTTGTCATTCTATTCTCATTATGTCCCAGATGAGCAGTCGTACTGAACACGCAGATGATCAATTGGACGTATTACTATCAAACGGAACTATGCGCATTAAGACATGAGCCCTGAGACCCGTAAGAATACATGCATAACAGGGTTCCCGTCATAATGCACATAGTTCCCTTTGACAGAAATACGTTCAATTAAAAACAGTCGAAACCTTGCACTTACTATCAAAATTTCATATTGCGAAATGTGGAAAATTGAATTAGCCAAGATTTTGATTTTTCGCGATTTTAAGGCTAAACGCACCATAGATTCACCCCCTGCAAACCGTTTTTTGGTATGTTTTTGTCGCATAGTTTTCTTTTGCTTCAAGACCACTGTGATGGTGTGTTGGTGTGAAGAGGTGAGATGTGTGCTTGGATACAACTATTTGAATGGAGATATTGCATGTGTGATTTGCGATTTCAACATTGATTCATGGGTAAAAGTTCGCGAGAAACACGATGGTGCCAATGGTTTTCTCGATACGTTGGAGCGCCTTCAATTTCGCATGATACCGTGCAACACCTCTGTCGCGAAATAGTTGCTTGAAGCGCCGTGGCACGCCTCGGCGCGCGGCGGGCGAAGGCGACCAGCGCGGCATGCACACTGGCGCCTGCAAACCTAACTGGGATACTTCACGCATTGCGCAATGCGTGAAGTATCCCTGTTAGGTTTGTAGGCGCCACACATTGGGACGAGCCCATTACAGAAACGGGACATTCACGGTAAAAATGAAAATCATTAAAAGCAAAAACCAAGGGTGTAGAAGTTACCTGGAGGGTCTAAACTTCCAGAATAACGAAGATTTTAACAATTTAATTAAGGAATATTCAAATGACAGGCGTAGAGAAACGCGTGTTTCGGAAAAATGAAAAAAAGAGGTAAAAGCGCACGTATACAAATGTTGCTCCTCTAGTTTCCGAGATGATTTCAAATGCAATTTTTTGTTATAACAATTGAATACAAACATAGACTATTCGTTTACGTCATTGGTGATGATTACTTTTAACTTCCTGGGGGTCAGAGAGTGAATTCCAAATCGACAAGTCAAAAAACTAAAATTCAAACTTCCATTAGAGTTTTAAAAAAATGTCCAGACTTGTCCAAGAAACGGTTTGCATATCGAGATTCTACGTATCCTTAGCTTTCAGAATCATATTAGTTTTCATCCGACTTCTTCCGACTTTGGAAGTTACAAGGGAAAACATGAGCGCGGTTCGCTTAAAATCGAGCGCTTTCTCAGGCCAACTGACGGTTGAGGTTGAGCGCAACGGGCTGCGTTGCTGGCCGCCGCGCTGCCGCTGCGTTGCTTATCAGCTTGCTGCAATGCTTATCTGATATCTAGGATACTGATTGCTATCGTCTTTTTTTGTAGAGCAATTTTTTATTTTGAATTTGCAAAGAATCGGATGATGTCGTGATGGAAACGGTCCTTAGAATCGGAGCTGAAATTAAAAAATATAAAATAGTGTATTTCCTTCGGAAAATACACTAATAATATCAACCAATGTAGCGACAGTTTGACAGTATCCCATGATTTTTATTCCAGCATATTCGATGGAAAAATTTGCAATATATTGATTGGCAATAAATCCTCATTCTTATGAACGATATCTCAGAAGTGCAGAAAAGACCCCTAAGAAACTCGGAGTTTCTAAAGTAGGTATGGAATTTTGCCTTGACATCTTAAGATTAGAGCTTTTGAGTGTCTGTTGCATATTTCGTATAATCAGGATTTTAAAAAATGGCGCTCAAAAGGGAAGAAGAAAAGTCCTTGAAAAAAAACGGAGAAAAAGCATCTGTGTCAAAGAATGATAATATTTGGGAGCAACCTATTCAATTATGATTTTCGGATTCATACTTTAATGTCTGCCCATTGATGAACTCATTCCCCTATAGTCAAATATAGATGCGGTTTTTGCGATAGGTAAGAAGACGGTAGGGGGGGGGGTGTTGTTTCTTAATAAAAGCATTTCTCAATTTCAGGAAAAGTGAATTCATTTTCTTTTTCAATGAAAAAAAAGCAAACGACACGCGCGTTAAATCTCTGCCATTATCATGCTAATCTGTTTATCAAATAGATTAAAACAGAGACTTGGCAACATCACTTTTTGGCGGGATTGTCACCATGAACCAAATACTGAATATAATATTGGATTCCTTTTCCCAAAAAGACCGAAAATGTCAAGTTTTGAGAAGATCGGCGAAAAAGTATCGTCTAATGTGCGAATGTCCCGTTTTGACACCTTTTCGTCCCACTGTGCGCCAGTGCACATGCCGAGCCGCGAGCCGTGAAGAGCTCCGCTCTCTGTATTTAGCTCTAACATCTAAACTCACGGAGTCAGCGTTTTTCAACTTACGATTTTGTAATGTTTGCACGCTTAGCATGGATAATGGAGATGTTGCATGTGTGAGGAATTTGCGATTTGACTGTTGATTCATACGTAAAAGTTCGCGAGAAATACGATGGTGCCACTGGTTTTCTCTGAAATCATCTCCCAAGCTCAAAAAAAGCTCTCAAGTTGATGCCAAAATGGAGAGGATATCCCACCCTACCCTGAGAGTCCACCTCTACATCAATTCAAACTCTCTATGCAAAAATAGGGAGAAAATACATTAGCAGGGCTGCCACTTTATTTGGGGACTCTAAAACTGAAAACACGGCAACCCTGCTAATGTATTTGCTCCCTATCTTCGCATGGAGAGTTTTTTTTTTATGTATAGGTGGACTCTTAGGGTAGGGTTGGATATCCCCTCCATTTTGGCCTCACTTTATGAGCTTTTTTGAGCTTGGGAGATGATTTCAGAGAAAGCCAGTGGCACCATCGTGTTTCTCGCGAACTTTTACGTAAGAAACAATGGTCAAATAGCAAATCCCTCACACATCCAACATCTCCATTCTCGAGAGGGTTTTGTGCATATCTGCCGATTTGAAGGTGACTTATGAGAACTGGATTTTGCGGTAAAACATCGTGCAGCAAAACTATCCAAAATTAATTCTGCAACGAAGAGGAGAGAGCCCGTCGTTAAAAACTCTCGTTCGTAAAATTTCTGGCCCAAAAAACCGAGCGATCATAAATTAAATTATAATTAAAATTGCAAAACTGCAGACCGGAGTGGAGTGTGCCCTTCTTGCGAAAAAGTCCGAGAAAAATAAGCGCCAAGTTACTGTGAGTGGCCCAGAGCTTCGTAGATATGGTGTAGGAAAAGAGGGAAGGAGCTCATGCGCTCAACTGCACACTCTTCCACGAAAATATTCTCAAATATCGCACATTCAAATGCATTGGACATTTTTTCAACTCTTCCGTTTAGTGTGCGCACTATTACCGTTTGATAGACACATTTTTGTCTGCGAAATGGGTATTCTCATCTTATTAGTGCTTTTAATTCAATAGTTCTTTTTTAAATTTTTCCATTGTTTTACTTTTCTATTAATTATTATTTTATTAATTTATTTTACATTAACCTTTTTTGGGGGAGGGAGAAGGCAATCAATTTTAATATAGATAATTGTAAAAAATTACGATAGAGGTGATTAAGCTACGCCAGCTTTGTTCCGCACCATTGATATGTGATCAATAACCCTTATAATTTCTTCATGCTTTTGATATATTAATAGGAAAGAGAGAACCTATCTCAGCCCATCCCTTACTACTTTTGTTGTAATTGGATGAGCAGAGTTACAAACAAGGTTTTATCATCACGAGATTTTTGTGGGCATGGCTACCAAATTTTCATGCACTGTTTTTTTCATATTTAAAAAAATCTAGACAATTTGTTATGCTGAGTCATTTGCTGATTCCATTTTTCAGGGATACCTACAGTTTAATACTCGAAACCTTACTTGTAGGGTTTTTGACACTCTCTTTCAATAATTTATAAACCGCACAATTTGTTCCAAAACTTTTCATACTTTGCTGCCTATACATACCACTATTATTTCTCATGAAAAATCTCCCTTTCCGT